GGCGATATTGATTAAGAAATGATATTGTTTCATAATCTCCAATCACATCTCAAGATATTGAAGTCGGGGTTTTAATGATCGCAAAAAGCTGGATTCGAAAGATATCGTAGTGATGATATCTGGAATTCGACTGTCTAGACCAAGAACTCAATAACAAAGGGGAGTGATTGAAACAACCTGTGAAGCTAATGGCATGTCAGTCTATAACAACCGCTGATATCTTGGACTATAAGCAGAAGTCTTCAAGAGACAATTCAGATAATCTATTGCATCGGTGATATTGACCATACTGTTCCGTTGTCCATGGTCGGTGACGACTGATCCAACCAACAGGATGGGACTGCAACTCCTGAAACCCCATTTCTTATCCCATAATTTTTAATCACTATTATTTTTGTTGCCATTTTCATATAATTCTTTCAGTTTATATATTATTTTTGTTTCTTACTGTAAACATTTACTTGTTTCAAGTTCTTATCTATAATTTTTTGTATGTAGATGGAGTCCGATAATGATATTAATAATCATTATAACACTGTATGCGATTCATTTGATCGTATGAATTTAAAAGAAAATCTTTTACGTGGAATTTTTGCATATGGTTTTGAAAAACCTTCTGCAATACAACAAAGAGCTATAATACCATCAATTGAAGGACGTAATGTAATAGCTCAAGCTCAATCAGGTACTGGAAAGACAGCTACATTTAGTATTGCCATATTACAACAAATCTGTACAACAGATCCACGTTGTCAAGCTCTAGTATTGGCTCCAACTAGAGAATTAGCGAAACAAATTCAAACGGTAATTTATAAATTATTCATTATAATTGTTGTCATTATATCTTATCTATCCGCCGACTAAATCAGTCAGTCAGTCAGTTGCAACGAAGAACTTCGTACGTAAGTACATCAGTTCATGTTGCCATACCACATCAGCACAGAGATGTAATTGTCAATTCAAATCCAATAGTAGAAGAGGTAGTAAAGGTATTAGAAGTAATCGGAGAGGTTAGGATTAGAAGATATTATGCAAGAAGTGTGATACAGTGAGAAAAGTTTAGAAAGTCAAAACTAGAGGTGTTGAAGAATACAGAAGATTAGGATTTGAGAGAACACAAAGAATAAATGCACCGGCGCAGTTGCGAACGATTTTGAGCCATGTCATTCAAGGTCTCTAACCATCGATTATTATCATCTCGCGGACCGCAACCAGGTAGTCGACAAAATGATAAGTTTACAGCTCGATAGTAGATTTTTTCTGTTCTATGGTTGTGAGATATAGTCTTTAAAAATAGGATATATTCACAGAACTTTCAAATATCCCGGTACGACCGAGAGTGGGTTGAGTCTGTTGTCTCTTCCATGCTTGCATAGACATTGCCAGAGAAATCCTACTCACTGTGTTGTTTATGAAATTGAGAGGACGAAAAGCGAATGTTGGGCGCTTAAACCGAGTTGGAGGATACGAAGTATCCACCTAGGGAATTAGGAAAACCCTGATTCCAAACGATAAACGGTGCTATATTCGCAACTAATAGCTGACGACTCTGGGTGACATGGTTCAGAATCGGTCACAATGGGGTAAATTCATTCGCTCTTTGTCTACTTTTAGATTTTAATTTTCCAAATTACCCTCTTTCACATACATGTAATCATTATTTCTCCTTTAATCATATCTTCTGAGCTTGATCTCTGTAACCACTTTGAAATTTATCCTCACAGTTTTATCTCTCTGTAATAGTGTGGAGATTGTGATTCATACTTCAGAGAGGTGGATAGAATACTTAAATGAATGTCCAGCGAAAGAATAGCTACGCTTCAGTTGACCACTGTTCATCAGTGGTATGAATTTCATTGAAATTATGAATCGATCAATGCTAGACCACGATTAGAAACCTGGAAGCACTGGATGGCCATTTCACCATAGTCTGGGCCTCATCAACACTGTGCATCCACGACGCCCACACGCGAAAATCAAACTCAGGACCTTCAGTCTCACAAACGAACGCTTAACCGTCAGATCATTGAGCCGGTATCCAACTGTTAATGTCTGGCTTCAATCAGTCGTAGATGCACACTTCCGATGAGTTCTATACTAGGATGAAATGGCCATCCAGTGCTTCTATGTTTCTAATGGTGGCCTAATATTGATCGATTCACGATTCCAATGAACCCCAACAATCTGCACAATCCTATGATGACACTAATCTAAATGAAAAATTGAGATCTTATACAAAAAACACAGAAGACTTAAAAAGATTATGAGTAATTTAAAGATAGATTTGGCAGTAAGTCGTGATAAGTTGTTTACAAATGGTAGATAAAATTATGACAGATTTTAGTGATGCGTTCAATAAATGTATCATATCATTAGACTATTCTACGTTTAATAACGACACATCAGCATAAGTCAGTCCGTCAATCCATATCGAAAATAATCAACCAACCAGTCACATGATTCCGCGGTCTGTTAAACAAAAAGGATCAATGAATTTGCAGAGGAACATGGAGTTAAACTGTCACAATGTTTCATTAGTACATTAAAAGACGAAACCAAGGAGAACTAACTGAACAAAGTTTAATTTTACGAAGCTTTATTTCTGTTATGAAGTCATACTGCAGCGATATAATTATTCTTTACTGTCAACGTAAGATGATAACAAACACTGTCATATATTAATTACTTGATTCTAAGTCACATTTTTCCAAACTAAAACATGGCACAAATCCATGAAATCAGTGACAACTGAACTAAGCCGTGTTAATAGGTGTAGACTATCTGGTCGGGGTTCGCGCAGGTGCCTTGACCGTAGCTGTTACCTTGACGTGATGGTCTAGCTTGCCTATTGTGATGACCCAACCGAGCCAAATTGGCTGGAACATATGTTCTTTCCAGGTCGATTGGAGAACAGTGAAACTAAAAGCAGCTACTCAAGGTCTGAGGGCTAAGTCGTACTACTGACTGTAGAGGGGTGTGATTGCAGTAAAGTATTTCCCTCGGACAACCAGCATCTGCAGCGATGCTGCCTTCTCACAAAGAAGGATGGGGTTAGAAAAGGTTGACCCTAAAAATGTCACACTTCACCTTTCCGTCTCCGGCGTTAGGGGCTTTTAAACAAGAGCGGAGTTAATACTCTAAAAACCTCTTATAAAAAGGCTGGCCTCAAGCAGTTGTCCCTCGTGTTCTGCGGTCACAACCCCAGGTCGTTAAGACCAACACTTATATCTATCTTCCTTTTCAGGTTCCTCAAGAAACACCCTTCCACGGTGTGGGCAGCCGGAAAATGATATCTGCCCTCGTACCCGTTACAGTACACGAGACCTAATTGGTCATAATCATATCCTTCCTACGCCCCCCCTCACACCCGCCTTATCTTTACGTCTAACTCTTCTCACGCAGGTGCATCCAATCTTTGTGTTCTTTCAAATCTTAATCTTCTAAATTCCTCATCACTTCTATCATTCTCTTTTTTAAATTTTTATTTCACTGGACTTTACTTCTTTTATTATCTTTTCAAACCCTAATCTTTTCGATTTCTGCTAATACAGCCACAACCACCGCTACTACTACTACTATTACTACGGGATTTGAATTGATAATTGCATCCTTGTACGTATGTGGTATAGCAATTTGAACTGATGTACGTGCGTATGTACTTCTACGTTGTAGTTGACTGAAGTCACATTTTGAAAAATAGTACTTTATTAATTTATCTTAAAACAATTCATTAGTGGGACACGCACACACACATGGTCATTGATTGCATAGTGGTATTACGAATTACAAATAAATTAACGAAATAAACCTTGAGTTTTATGATTCATTCATTCATTCAATCGTCACATACTTTTATACTGACAGCGTAATTGCTGTCAATCTTATTCGCCTAAAACATTAATAGATTTGTAAATCCTCTCTCTTATCCTTAAGAAATGATTGTTGTTTAGATCATGAATTGATGTGAGTTAGGCAACTACTAAACAGTGGATATGAGGTGGGGTGGGGCAGTTCCACTATAAGACAAAACAGCTGTTCATCACTGTTTCCCCAGTTTTCAATGGTTGGGAACGTTAGATCCCCAGAACTCATTTGATAAAGGTCTTGATTTTGAATTTTATGTTTTCGAGCATGGGTTGATCAGTTGACCTTGAGACTACATTTCGCACCCGGAAAACTCTTGACTGTTATTGGTTGATGTATTATTTTAGTACGCCATTTTTGTGGCTCTTCCAATGGACGTTTCTATCATGTATAAATAAACTCGATTTGGGTGCTTGTTGTTGGGGATGTTAGATCCCCAAAACTCGCTTGATAAATGCCTTATTTTGGATTTCA